CTCTCTCTCTCTCTCTCTCTCTCTCTCCACTCTCTCTCTTCCTCTCCCTGCCTCTCCCTCTCCCTCGACGCCCTTCGAGCAGTTCAACTTTTCGTCGGTCGCCTGATGTGAATTCCACACGAAGAAAATTTTACAGGAGAGGGAAATAACTGATTTTCTCCGCCATTTGGCGTTCAAAACATAAACTAAATGGATAAATCGAGCTAGATTCTAGTACCTTTTAGAATAAATACTGTGGTACAAACAAAAATGATCATCTACGGTAAAAAAAAAAAAAAGTACTACAGTATGTTCATATTCGAAACTCTGTGAACCGGTCGTGAAATTCACGGTTTCATCAGTAGGCGTAATGAAATGCGGTGTTGTACCGGTATTTACGGTTATTCGGCACTGTGTTTTCTCTTATTAGAAGTCCTGGTATGTTAATAAAATGTTTGAAAGCACGCAATACTGTTGAACAAAAGATTTTAAAAGATCAATTTAAAACTGAGTATGGAATTACAGCTATTTATTATTTTACCTCTATAAACATCTGTCATTCTCACATGAATGGTACATCGTGGTTCTATGTACTTTATGAAATCATACTCCTTCATTTGCGTGCTCTCTCTCTCTCTCTCTCTCTCTCTCTCTACCCCCCCTCTCTCTCTCTCTCTCTCTCTCTCTCTCTCTCTCTCTCTCTCTCTCTCTCTAGCCTTCTTTCTCCAGTTGTGTGAAAGTGCATGTCATTTTGTATTGGGCTAGAGGGGTGGGGGGGGAGGGGTGGGGTGGATGGGTTGAGAACTTGATTTGTGTCAAACTTCTATATCCCGTGAATGACTGAAAGATCATCTTTCATTATTTCACTCTTTTTGTCTCTCAGATCCTGAAAAATACTCTTTGCGACTTTAAAAAGAGAATGATACGGTGGTTGGGAACTGTTTGTTAAGTTTTCCTTTTTGTCTCTGAACTTTAGAAAATGCTCACATTCTTCGTTAGAGTTCAGTTCGCAAAGAATTTCCAGTTATGTATATCGGAGGCTTCGCATTACATTAACAGTTTGGTCTTCTTTTTGTCTACCCGACCAGACAGTTTTGTGGACTGCAATTTTGGCAAAATCATGATGGAAAATGTGATCCACAAATTTCATTTAAAAGGGTAATCGTTCATATAGTTATCAAAATTGCGGTTCTGAAAATAGCAACATAATCTAATGGACTGTATTTTTGGGAGTGCTATTTAAAGCCACCACTCAATGACGACGTGCCTACTATCAATTGGCATAGATGAGTGTGGCCTCTAATAAGATGCTGTATTTTATTTCGGTGGTGCTTGCTTTCGCGGAAAAGGCACTCACGGCATTAGAAACAGATGCAATTTTGTGCTGACACACACACACACACACAAACACACACACACACACACACACACGGAAATATACTTGTAATTTATACTCTAGTGTCTCTAGACTACGTTATCTTTGAATAATTTTTTTTTTGGAAAGGAGCTAGATCAAAGTTGTATAGCCTACTACTAGAACGGCACACACATTATACATTCGAATTTAACAGTCGACGTGAAATAATATCAGTCCTGCATCTAGGAAAAAACCACATTTTAAACATATGACAGAAAGGTTTTCCTGCAAAACGCAGGCAGTCGACATTATAAATTATACTCTTTGGCCTGGAAACCTTAAACTCTGACCGACCATTGTGTTTTCTCAACGCAGTCGCCCATATTTCAATGGTCTAAAGAGGCGTTCACAGCGCCAACGGTCATCCCCACGAGTCATAAACCGACTGATGAGATCGTGAATTCCACACAGGTGTGGGATTCAGGCAACTTTTGGTGCACGGTGTTAATTCACCATTTTCTTATTACGTCAGATTTCACGTTCATATTGCGATAATTGAAAAATAGTTTTACAGGGACACGTATCTCACCCAGCACTATCAAAATAGGCAACAACAAAAAAAAAACGATTTTCGAAAATTTGTGGAATTTACGGTTTTATCAGGCGACCGACACACACACACACA